TTTGTCGACATTTTTATGCAACCTATCTTCGCTTCCTGCCCACCGTGCACAGTAGAATAACGATGCGACTTAAAATTGAGTCCGATTTCACTTATAAATTGGCAGATAACTCTTAAACTGATAATTTGATTGCAAAACATTGTATAGCAGGTTCGTAGGGATTTCAAAGACCTTTAATCTGGTGGAGATCTTTTTGTGGTGTGATAATCACAACCGGATATTTTTGGAAAAAATTGAAAATGCTGTTTTCTCAATTTGAAAAAAACGATAATTTCGCAAATTCTTAAAACCTATTCTACTTTTTTAATTTTTGACCTCATATTCAGATTGTGTAGGTTATTTTACATGGCAAATGACTATAAAATTCACGACTTTCAACTATTTTGTTAAAAAAATTTTTCCCAGAATGCATATGGTTTTCTAAATTTTCAAATGCAACGCGCAAGTACTTAGAGTTATCATATTCGAATAAAATTTTGCACAGCTTATTTTTAGACCAAAACACATCTTTTTCCGCCCGGCAAACCAAATTTTATTTTTAACGAACGGTCTAGTGGATACCTTAAAACAAAAGGTTTGTTAAGTCGATTTCATGAATTTTATTTAAAAAAAACGGCGATTTTTTTCAGAAATTGCGCTTTTTTTAATAATCTGGACACCCTGGTTCCAACCGAAAAGGATTTGCTTGCATTACTTACATATAAAAATGTATGTATGTATAACAAAATGCATAACCAAAACAAACCCGAAAAATATCCATACAACGTCGTTGAAAATTTTTCGCGATAAGTTTATCGCGATAAGTTGTTGTGAGTGATCGCGAATGGATTACTTGCATCGTTTTTCTCATTTATGACAGGCCGACATCGGCAATGCTCGGACTTCTCATATTCGAGTGAGAGGAAATTTCTTTGCTTTTTTCGATCGCGAATTAAAAAGAGCGGAAATTTTTTTGTCGATCGCATTCCGAATGTGAGAGATGATAAATTTGTTTGCATTTTTCACTCGCGATAAAAGAATTCAAAAATAGATTTGAAATATTATCGATCATGATAAATCTCATAAATGAATGAAAACGAATCATAAATGAGAATTTCCGAACCCTGCTATTAACACCTAGCACCTAAATGCATGCTACAGCTTCAGAATTAACGATTGACTTTCTTTTCGTTAATAACCAAAATTGGATTATTTTGAAAATTACCTAAACGATAAAAAAACCAGAGGCCCAGAATAATAATTATTTCATGGTAGAGTTTTAAAGAAGTCATCAAAATTTTCGTAAGAATTATAAAAGTCTTTTGATAATAATTATGTGAGAGAAAATTTTTTTAAGTCATCGATAACTATTATTTTAAGACTTATATGATAGAAGTATTTTCATAATCACCCCTATTCTGGTTGTCATAAGTCGTTCGCATCGACAGTCGTTCGCTGAATTATGTCGTAAATAAAAAAATTAACGGCAGATTTTAACACGTTTTCAATACTTCTTCATTTCGAAGGGATAATAGGAATAAAAATTTGTAATGGATTATGTCACTGGTTGCCTCATAACGCCAATGAAAATCTCAAATTTCGACGAACGACTGTCGTTTCGACAATGGGAATAGGGCCGAATAATTATCACCGAGATAAATATTTTTAAGTCTTCAAAGACTTTTATTTTGAGAATTATATTATAAAAATCTTGTCATAAAAATTATCATTGAGATAAACATTTTTAAGTCCTCAAAGACTTTTATTTTGAGACTTATATTATAAAAGTCTTTTGATAATAATTATCAGTGCGAAAAAATTTTGTATATAGTCCCGAACGGGCCCACACTGCTCCCCAACAAGGCCCGAACTGGTCCCCAACTAATCCTGAAATGCTCCTGAACAAGTCCCGTCTTTTAAGACTTAAAAAATTTTTCCGCGCTCATAATTATTATGAAAAGACTTTTATAATATAAGTCATAAAATAAAAGTCTTTGAAGACTTAAAAATATTTATCTCAATGATGATTATTAAAAAAAAAACTTTTATAATATAAGTCTTAAAATAAAAGTATTTGAAAACTTAAACATATTTATCTTTCTGATAATTATTATGAAAGGACTTTTATAATATAAGTCCTTGAATAATAATTGTAGATGACTCGAAAAATATTTATCTTAATAAAATGATTATTGACTGACTTTTATTCTTTTCTCTTATAATAGTTATGTCTCTGTAAAAAACTGAATCGCTTCAACAGAAGCGATTGCTTTTCTTTTGTAAACGCTAGAATTAACGTTACAATGCATCCTTGAGTTGTACAAATATATGTAGGAGTCTTTTTTCTGGCATCAGCTCAAAATTTTAAATATTTCCGAATTACTTACTTGTTTAGATATTTTTTTGTTACTCGTGTTGAAACCCCTGGTTTGGGTTGAGCTGCCCTACGGCCCAGTGCAGCAGTAAATTGACGGTAACTACGCATCAAGCGCAATTTTTCCTTCCGTATTTTGTCCAAAAACAAACTAATTTTATGTATGCGATTATCCTTGATAGACACATTTTCGCGATCAATTTTCTCAATGGTGACGAAATGAATCCAATTAAAAAAATATTTTCGTAGCAATGTGGGAGTGGTGTTGGCTCTTGGCTGGAAGAGTTGTGTAATACTTAAGTTTTCTTCAAAGCTGGAAATGCTTTCTTCTTCTACCTCTTCAGGAGTAATATGATCATAATCTACTTGATTCGCATTATTTATTTTTTTAATAATCAGGAGCTCTGATGCATTTTTAACTTTTAGAGACTTTTGAGAGCATTTTAAAGATTTATTGAAATCAGTTGGTGGCGGTTTATTTGCTACTGATTCGAACCGTGTTTTTTGAGTCAATTTTTCTTCAGCTGCAATTTGCAGTTCAAAAAGTGCCTCCTCAGTTATATCCGATACAGCCAAATCAATTCTACAACTGGTATTCGAAAGTTTAGAGCTATCTCGATTAAAGTTTCTTACTTCTACCGATTCATCAAAACGTACACATCGCGTTTGATATAAATAACTATCAGTTGCAGTATTAGGAGCAATGGGATTTTTGTATTCATTCGAGAATTTGTAAATAAGCGGATTTTCTATTTTTAAATTGCTATCAGACACAATTTTGTACTCATATTCCTTTGCTTGAGGGTTAATATGTTTGCTTAAAACGGTTTCCTGTAATATTTCGTGTTTATAATTCTGAGTATTAATTCTCTGTATATATTTTCCTAAAGCATGGCCTCGGTTGCTAACTGCGCTCATTGTATATTTCTTTTTGTCCACTTCATCCGTAAAGATTGCCTCAATTATTCCAAAGCCATTCTTTGGAGTTAATTTATGCTCTTGTGTGTCGTTCTTATTTGTTTCGGTGGCAGATAACACTTCAATTGCTTGCAATACATCCAGAGGTGTTGTGTAAAAGTTCTCCATATGCTTAGTTGCTCTTTCTAAGCCTTGTATTAGAAAACTGTTGTCCAAAATACTTACATCTTGTTTGTGCTCTTCTGTAAATTCCTTTTTATCTGTATTTCGTTTAGTATTGTTTCGTAACTGCTGGCGGATTTTTTTTAGTTCGTTGTTGATGTAACGATCCTCTACAACCAGATTATGTGATATACACGCGTCTAACGTACGCTGGCCGCCCACTGTAACCAGCGCCGATTTTCGTGGTGTCTTTTGAAACTATTACCATTAAATAAATGATTCATTGTTACATTATAAATAAAATCAATTTACTGATTAAATGTGTCAAAAGCCACATAATTATGCTTTTATTACCATTTCATGACGTATATCCATAACTACCAAAGGATTTAGTGCTTTGTTTGGTTCGTTTTTGCCACATAGCACTGAATTATCATATGGGCTGATGTACTCCTTCCAAAAGAAATATTGTACAATGCCTGAATTAATTGAACAAGAATTTTTACAGTCATTTCGTTTACGAATTCGATCCCATCTTGTAATCCTCTGGCTGAAAGGTTTGTCTTTTCGTATTAATCTCATCAGAAAGAAATATATTTTATTTTATTTCGTTTCGTACGTCTTCAGATTGAATAATCACTGAACAGCTTTGTCCAACCCAAACAAACAAGTTGATTGATCACCAAGGTTACAAAAAATGTTTAAAAAACATTGTGCCAAAACACGCGAGTAAAAATTGCGACGCAATAAATTTTCATCAAATTAAATTACACGAGAGTAAAATATGTGTACATGCGCCATGGTTTCCTGCATATATGTATGTATGTAGTACTTCTATTTTGCTAGCATGATACAAATATTACATGATACAAAAATATGAAGGTAGTTTCACTCACAATTTTCGTCAGCCATAATCATGATACAAACCATGATAAAAATATAGCAAGGTAGAACCGTTCTCTCAATTTGTCGGCCATGATTCGGTTTTTGAAGTTTGCCAACATTTTAAAATCATATAAAAGTGAAAATAAAAAAATGAAATCGGTCGAAATTGTTGTTGCTTGAGATTGAAAATGAAAATGTGTGTGTGAGTTTGTGAGTAAATTTAAAAATTAAATTGTTTGGAAACGTCAAGAATTTTGAAAGTGACTCTCAGCGGTAAGGTAAAACCATTCTCTCAATTCGTCGGCCATGATTTTTTTTTGAAGTTTGCCAACATTTTAAAATCATATAAAACTGAGAGTAAAAAAAGGAATTGTTCAAAGCTGTTGTTGTTTGAGATTGAAAATAAAGTAATGTAAAAAAATATTTTTTTAAAAATAAGCTTTTATTTAACATGTTTAATCAAAGGAATAAAATAAAGTAGTGAAACAAAAGATTTTTTAGCAAGAAAATTTTGTCAAAACTGCACTAAAATGAATAAAATAAAATAAGTTAAGGTCTCTAATGAAAATTACTAACAATTTGTACTAATTTACTTCGTTTTTAAAAAAGCTTGTCGCGCGAATAGCAAACCGGCATTTAAATATCTGCATACATACATATAAATACATACATACCTAACCAATTATGCATGTACGCTGAATTCGCCGACAAGCTTTTTTAAAAACGAAGTAAATTAGTACAAATTGTTAGTAATTTTCATTAGAGTTTGAATAACTCCTTTCACTAAATGGCTTTTAGTAACTTTAACGAGACCTTAACTTATTTTATTTTATTCATTTTAGTGCAGTTTTGACAAAATTTTCTTGCTAAAAAATCTTTTGTTTCACTACTTCATTTTATTCCTTTGATTAAACATGTTAAATAAAAGCTTATTTTTAAAAAAATATTTTTTTTTACATTACGTTATTTTCTAATTTTTAGTCCATTTATAAAAGCGTTGTATATTAAATAGTTTTATTTTATTTTATGTACAAAATTTTGCAATAGATATTAAAATAATTCAACTTGCAATGAAAGAGAACAGAAGACTATGCATGCAAAATGTTGTTTGCTTACGTTTTGTATAAACATACATATGTACATACATACATATAGCAGCAGTTAATTTCATTTAAAGAAATGGCGTATCGTCCACTTCCGCTGTAGCATGGCATATATTTAGGCGCAATATTAAAGTTCTTCTGGCGGGAAACTTCTCGAGTCTTCTAATTGTATCTCCTTGATATGATGCCTACAACGAGGTTCATATCTAGACTAGGTTGATATCTAGAATTTGCCATAAATAGCTTTGCTCTGGTTTTACGTTCTTTGGCAAATTACGCTCTGTTAGCCATAAATTTTACTAATTTTTGATCGCCTTTGAATCAAGACCCCTGGACCATATAGGGAATTCATTTATATTTTAAATTGCATTGTCATCGTGATTGGAACTATGCTGAAAATTTCAAGTCTCTAACTTGTCGGGAAGTTAGTTTAAAATCGATTGGAAATTTCCACGATTTGCGCGGGATGACCAAGTTAAATAAAAGCTTATAATGAGAATGTGTGTGTGAGCTTGTGTCTAAAATTTTAAAATTAAAATGCTTGCAAACGTCAAGAATATGAAAAATTCCTCTCAGCGGTTCTACCTTCTTATGTTATTATCATGATACAAATATTTGAAGGTAAAACCGCTGAGAGGCAGCCTTAACATTTTTGAAGTTTTCTAACATAACAAAAATGTTTTCAAATATTCAATCTCACAAATACATTCTCATTTTCAGTCTCAAATAAAAGAAAATTTTAAAATTTTCATCTATTTATTTTTTGTTTTACTTTTATTTGGCATTTCAGTTGCTTCCAAAATTTAAACTTTATAAAGTAGACAAACTTCAAAAACTAAATGATGACCAACGAATTGAGCGAGCGGTTTTACCTTTAAATATTTGTATCATGAGCCATATTAGCCATGGCTAAAAAGTAGCAAATAAGATTTCTCAGTCCCATAGAATTTGTTTTGATAACTTTTGATTTTGAAACTTTATCTAAAATCATTATAAACAATTTATGAGATTGAAAACGAAAGACGTGGAGCGCATGCAATACAAAGAATTAGATTTAATTGACAATAGTAAAACTACATAACATAGACCTAAAATCTCTACAGCGCAAGTACAAACTTTGAGATCGATTTTAAGAGATCCTCATTCATATACCCACGTATATAAATACATACATTACTTTTCATATCAATGCAAGTCTATTACATGGGCTCCGTGCTTTTCATTTCCAATCTCATAAATTGTTTATAATGACTTTGCTAAAATTTCAAAATCAAAAGTTATTAAAACTAATTCTATGGGACTGAGAAATATTATTTTCTACTTTTTAGTCAATTTATAAAAGCGTGGTATATTATAAAGCTTTTTTATTTTATTTATTTTATTTATTTTCTACTTTTTAGTCTAGTCTGTACAAAATTTTGCAATAGATATTAAAATAATTTAACGATATTAATAGATTGGTGCACACACATGCATATATGTATGTACATACATACGAGGACCAATTAATTTCCACCCCTATTCTGCAACTCTTTCGTATTCGTAATAGTATGCTGCAATCCGAATCGTATTTTCAAACTTTCGAAATTCGTAACAATGACGTGCCTAAAAACGACCGAGTAAGTTTTTTTGCGTAATTTTGTACGAAAACAATTCTGTGTCGGAGGCGAGATAAAACATGTAAATCGATGTGTGTTTGCAGGAAATATTAGTGGTGTTCATTTAAACATTTCGCATATACGTATATTTTTATCCACTGCTTTATATAAACAAGCAAAAAAGAATCTGTGCTGCCCCTTATCGAGAAACTTGGGTCCGGTTTAGTTCTTTGTACAAGGTTGTTGTGTCCAAACGCATAACCCGAATCCAAAACCATTAACATACACGTGTAATCAAAGGATTAAACTTTTTCCGAGATGGTGGTAAGATGATTTATTTTGAAACGAATTTCCGTCATCCCTTGTCACGAAACGAAAATGTCACTGAAGATGGCACATCACCGAAACCGGTTTGTCTGCGAAGCAAACTTGACAGGGGATGACGCAAATTCGTTCCAAGATTAAGCTTTTATTTAAAATAAATGTTTCAAATTTCCGACCACTAGCTTATTAATAAATTCGGTTTGCACTATACGCTTTTTTTGCAAATTTCGATATGTGTTCTACCGCCGGAGTGATATTCACAAGAAATGTTGTATAGCTTTGACATGCGGAAACCCCTCTTCTCCGGCAACACAGAAAGGAGAATTCTACTTAGTAAGGGTTATAATCCCTAAGCGCGGCCGAAGGCAGAAGCAAGCGCAACAGGTGGTGGACCTAACAAAGTGCATGTTTTTAATGGCTTGGAAGAAGCTGTTATTGCATTAACTGTATTGAGAACCAGTTCTTCAGGCATAGGAGGAGTTCTGGCTTGTGGTTCAACAATTCAATCAGAAGCTGGGGACATGGCATCTCCTATACAAACCGAATTTCAAATATCGCTTATCTATGGACCGCTTTTGCTAACGTACATATGGCGAAAAGTGGTTTGTATTGGAACTCTACTCTCTAGAACTACTTATGATAAGGTTATGGATACGCCTACATATACAAACCATAAAATGGCAAGAATCATTCAATTGGAAAGAATTTTCTCCCAGATTTCAAAATCGCTTTGAGTGATTGTTATTTTATGGAAAGGTTTATAAAGGTTTCTTCCAATAGGGGGCTCAGAGATTGAGAGCTACCCTAAAGAATCCTAATTATGGTCACATTTGCTTCATCTTTTGAATACTTGTTACCCCATCGTGTGATGCAAAGATATTGATTTTTGGCCCAGTCCTGACAAAACCTGTGTGAACACCTTCGAGGTACTTTCTTAACTTCTACCGATTCTGATGAAGAGAAAGAGGAGTTTATGTAGATGTTGGAAATATAGTTTTTAACCTTCCCAAGGGCTCTGAGACCAATATAATCGAAAAACTTATTTACAGTTTAAATTAATTAAAGCTTTACACTGCAAAGAAAACACTATTTCAAGTTTGAATGTAAAATTGTTTAATACATATATTCAATTATTTTTTTAATGAATATATAACTTATAACTACATATTTGTTTTTTTTAATATATTTTTTTGTTTTTTAATTATGCATGCGAAATGTCACTGTCGGAGTGTGAACTTGCATCTGATTCATCAGTCGCAACTCTTGGGTAACCATTTTTCGTACAGACTCTGCTTGATATAATATGGAATTTGACATTGGTGCGAGGTCGTGCGAAGTCTGGCTTAAGTAATATCTAAAAGAACATATCATGAAGAGCTTCACAAAAAAATTTTAAGAAAAATACATAACAATACAGTGTTTAGATTGTCCAAATATTTCGACTTTGTTCATATTTTTTGACGAAGAAACGTCTAATTTTGACACATTACTCTAGCTACGTCCCTCATCACATATAAATTGTTTTTATTTCATATAAAAGAACATCGTTTTCTATACCAAATGCATTCTTTTCAGCGTTCTGGCACACCACTGTGATAAACAACACACCACATTTTAAAAATGTCGATTTGATTTGTGTAACTTTTAGAAAACAAAGTTTCAAAACACCAAA